TCACAAAATTTAAATTGCTATGCTCTAACACCAATATTGATAGAAATGTTCTGGACAAAAAATGCTCTCCTAAAATAATGGCTTTGATTTCCATGCTGCTGAATTACACATCTATTTCTTGATGTTTTCTGTCTCAGTTATATATGCCATATTTAAATGTAGCCAAGTTGTGTGCATCAAAGATTGCTGATGCATTGAGCAGGCGATTGTCTGCTCAAGTAGTTTGAGGTAGGTTAATTTTGTTGCAAATGATGAAATTAAGGAATTCCTTTTGAACCTCTATTGCTCTCTACAATTTTGTGTATCCCTCCAGTTCTATTACCATTGCTGCCAAAATTATAGATCAAAAACTTCAACCTCAGTGATTCATAACTATCATTTCATTTGATGATGGCATCCATTACCAAAGAATGCCGTCTGGCACTGCACCAACTTTCTGATGCTGCAGTCAGGAAGGGCAGATGCCCAGAGCAGAGCCTCACTCAAGCATCTCCTGGTGGCAGCAAAGTAAAGTCTGAAGGTAAGCCATATTCCATGTGCCTCACTAATCAATTGTTACTATGCAGAGCAGGAACTGAGGTTATGTCAGTTTATCACATTTAGTTCTTATTTGTATTTATTTCTTGGGAAATTCAATGCAAAATTTGGTAACATTGTATGGGAATTTGCCACCTCATAAGTCTCACTCATCTGAGTAATATTGTTGGAGGTCAGCCCCATCTATATTTTTTTGTCCTAATACTCATATGAATCATTAATTTGGTGAACTTTATATATACCGTGAGATATCTTGCTCCATAGCCTTGTGTTACCAGTACATTAATGTACTTATTTTCCAGCCTTAGAAAAGGCTGAACCTCCACCAGCTCTCGAAGTTCCTGCTATCTTCATCAAAGGGGAGCCTGAGGATGAAACTGTAGGAATAGAGCAGAGAATGCAGAAATAGAGCAGAGAATAGCTAAGAATAATATTGGATAACATTCATGCCAATTGATATGAGATTTTACAAAGTGATGCAATGTCACTACAAAACAAACAAAGCTTTTCTTCAAAATTTATAAATGCCAAGTTGATACAACAAAAACTTACTAAAAATGTGCACTTGCTTCTGAAATTTGGACTTATGTTTAAAATCCATTTTAATTAGAAAAGAGGCAAGTGAAATATTTGCATTATGAAGCATCGATATGAGAAATCATTTTATAGCCAGTAATTTGTGATGCTACCATATTCATGTACTGTTAAGTTAGGAACTTGCAGCTAAGGCTATGAGGAGTTGTATATTATATCATTCTTCATAAAGTACACACATGACTGCAGCCACATCAATATTGTCCTCCACATCCCCCAGGCTTGTTCAACTGCACATCTCAGCCCTGCACCTGCACTCTCCTCTTGTGTGCCGTGCAAGACAGAAGCTCAAGTTGAGGCTCATGACGCCCACCCAAACTCCTCACAGAACATTTCTGTTCTGTTGTTAAATCAGGTAAATGTTTTAAATTCATTTTTTTATAATTTACACTCACAATGAATTTTTGGGAGAACTTCCTTAATCTTCCAAATTGCTAATGTTTTGTTTTATTGTCTGGATTTAAGTGTAAAATACTCAACTTAATAAATATCTGTAGTGAAACTGGTACATTTTCCTCATACATTTTCAATCCTACAAGTAAAATTTGAATAATTATGATCTTCAGAAATAGATGGCAATACCTTTGATTTCCCCTAAGCAAGGACCAAATCCTTGAACAAGACATCTAGTTTATGCAGTGTAGGGAGATGAGGACATGAGCTTGAATCTGTTACATTCAACGTCACATCGTCACTCTCTTGAATTTGGAATCACGTTTATGAAAGGATTTACTAGGTAATTACCTTTTTCTCATCTTTTTGGTGTTCATTATTAGCAACACCACACAGCTTGGGACAAGGATGGATTGTTTGGGTTGCCAACAGTTCTTTCATCTTGAAGTTGTCCATGGTCTGCTTGTGATAATATTATATATCCATATTCTATATAGCAGAGTAAGTCCTTTATGTGGCCCTGAACTATTATCAACAAGGACACAATAATAGTGGACTAATATTGGGCATTAGAACATCAAAATAAAGTTTTTAAATTCAAAGGGTAATGGAATTTTTAAATTCAAAGGAGACTGCATCTTTCTTCTAGATCTGGGGAATGATTGTTCAGAGGTCCAGATTGGGCAGGCATAGTGGATTATTGGAGGACAGAGAGTTTTGTGGGTTTGTTGTAGGCTTAGTCCTTGTTTTGTACATACGATGCTCGTGAGAATGCTTCTAGTAAGATATTAAGTTATGCGACTTTTCTGTATTGGTTTTATGGTGGGCAGGAAAAGCAAAAATAGCATCAAAGGTTAGGCTGAGGAGTTTTAGGTAGTGTTCAAGTGGAAGCAGTAGGTTATTAGTTTTTATTTGAGGGTGGTAGAGGTACTGGGCCATGTGAGGTGTTATGAGGGTGACTGTTGATTTGTTGGTTGAGATTTCCAGGTTTTATGTACCTATTGGAAAAAGTTAGGGTATTGCTTTGCTGTTGAAGGGTAACTTCACAATATCAAAACCATTGCTCCATTACTAATCAGCATGAAAGTTTTTAAAATTGATTATATTGCATAATGTAAAATAATAATGATGCTGAGTAATCCTGAATTATATTTTTGTCCAGAATTCCAAAGGTAGTTCAGCACCGGCATCAGGAGGCCAGAACCGTGGCGCTGACAGTTCTGGAGCGTCCAGCTCGAAGCAACACATCAGGCTTGGGTGTTCCCAGCGTGGATTGGTGCCTGCAGGTGGAGGCCAACTGCAGCAGCGCATTGATGTAGAACATCCTGCTTCAGGACCCGCTCACTGCTCTAAATACACCTTTAGTTCAGGAAGTGGACTAATGCAGCACATTAATGCTGAGCATTTGATAGAACAATCATTTCAATTCCCTGACTGCGAACAATCATGTACCACGAGAAAATCGCTCCAAGGGCATATCAACTCCAATCATTTGAGAAGAAGTGAACACCAATGCCAATTCTGTTTTAATTCATGTGCTTCTGATGCTGATCTCAAACAACATATTCTTAATTTATGAATATAAATAATTAATAATAATATTAAATACTGATCATGTCACATCGCACCTCATGTCTCGTCTCATGTCTTGTCTCATGTCTCATCTCATGTCTCATCTTGTCCCATGTCTCCTCTCATCTCATGTCTCATCTCATCTCATGTCTCATCTCATCTCATGTCTTGTCTCTTAAATAGCGGTTTCAGCGTTTAATAGGCCGTAGGCCTGTCGCCGATTCTTAACATCGCAGAACATTCACAGCATTTTGCTGTCTCTAACTCGCAACTCACTGCTTTAGTTCTGCTTTGCTTTAACCGCCCGGCCTCCTTGCCGATTCTGACCAGAAACTGGCGCACAGAGCTGGGATCGAACCCGCGCCTCTCAGCTCCAANTCTCATGTCTCGTCTCATGTCTTGTCCCATGTTTCATCCCATGTCTTGTCTTATCTCATCTTGTGTCATGCCTCATCTCATGTCTGCTCATGTCTCATCTCATGTCTCGTTCCATGTCTCATATTGTCTCCTGTCTCACCATGTCTCGTCTCATCTCATCTCATTTCTTGTCTCATTCCATGTCTCATTCCACGTCTTGTCTCGTGTCTCGTCTCATGTCTCATCTCATGAGCTCACTCAGTGACCTCTGTCCCATGCGTTGGACTCGAAAAGTCATCATTTTGTGACTTCTGCTATCACTGTCTGACTAAAGGCAGAACTCTGAAATTTGGAGTGAAAGTTAAAAAAACTGTTAGCTTGTTTTGATAATATATTTTAAAAACTTTACAATTCGATAGCACAGTTTATTTTAGCACAAAGTGGCACACTTTGCAAATATTGGCTCAGAAAATAGACAATGCAAATTTCTCTAAAATTAAGATGGCTTTGTCATAATTCAATTTTTTACCCCATTTTTCTTAGCTCGCTTTTGTGTCCGTCTGTCTGTCTGTCTGTCTGTCTGTCTGTCTGTCTGTCTGTCTGTTTGTGATGATCAAATCTTGCAATCAATATTTCACCAACTTTCCTGCTAGCTAGCGCTCTGAAACTTTTAGGGAAGCTCAACTCCCGATGACAATACAATAATCAATAATTTGTTGCACGTTTCCAGGCGTATTTATCACTATTATAAACAAATTAATTTTTGAAGTGGAAATTTGTTTTCCTTTAATCGATCGCAGCGCCATTCCCCCTAAAGCGGCGATTTTCATAACTAACAAACGCGGTTAATTCTTGCACGTGTGACGGACATTTAACATTTGAGAACGCGCGCCCCTAAATACGCACAAAGAATGTAAACAAAGAAAAGTTTTGAAAAATTAAATCGTGAGTGCGAAGTGAAAATTTTTAAAGTTTAGCTAGTTTAGAGTGAGAGAAGTGAAGTGAATAGTGAATTGATAGGACAGTGACTTACCACGTCTTTCTTAACTCGCTTTCGTGTCTTTCTGACTATCTGTTTGTGATGATCAAATCTTGCAATCGATATTTCACCAACTTTCCCGCTAGCTAGCGCTCTGAAACTTTTAGGGAAGCTCAGCTCCCGATGACAATACAATAATCAATAATTTGTTGCATATTTCGAGGCGTATATATCACTATTATAAACAAATTAATTTTCGAAGTGGAAGTTTGTTTTCCCTTAATTGATCGCAGCGCCATTCCCTCTAAAGCAGTGACATTCCCTCTAACAAACACGGTTAATTCTTGCACGTGTGACGGACATTTAAAATTTGAGGACGTGCGCCCCTAAAAACACACAACGAATGCAAAGAAAGAAAAGTTTCGTAAAATTAAATCGTGAGTGTGAAGTGAAAGTTTGTTTAGCTAGTTTAGAGTGAGAGAAGTGAAGTGAATAGTTCATTTGATAGGACAGTGACAATCTACTGTAGTCATTTTCACATTTCTTTTTATGTTCTATTACAGTGAACATTTTATATTTATATATTGGTGAGTATAACTTTCGAAAATGGTGAAGGAAACGGCCACTCAAAAGAAGTGACGGCTAGAGAAGGCAAGACAGAAGTATCAGGAGAAGCGCTCGCAGGAAATGGAACAATGTAAGTCAGAACGACTTACTAAGCGCCAAAAAATGATTGAATCTGAGGCAGAAAGCCAGCGTGCAGAGCGCTTGGCTAAACATAAAGAGCATATGGCTGCTGCTTGTGCGGTTGAGACGGAAGAAGAGAGGGTTTCTCGCCAGGCGCGTGATAGAGAGCGACACGCTGCTGCTCGTGCGGAAGAAGAAGTGAGGTCTTCTCGCCAGGCGCGTGATTGTGAAAGGCATGCCAACGCTCGTTTAGATGGAGAAGCGTATCAAGCAGAATTGCAAAGCCGTCGCACTGCTTATGCTCTACGCTCAGCAGGATTTGAATTCCGGCAGGAAATTGCTGCCTTCTGCGACCAAACCTGCCCCAAGGGGAGTTACCCAGAGCAGAGCCTTACTCAAGCGTCTCCTGGTGGCAGCAAAGTAAAGTCTGAAGGTGAGCCATATTCCATGTGCCTCACTAATCAATTGTTACTATGCAGAGCAGGAACTGAGGTTATGTCAGTTTATCAGACTTAGTTCTTATTTGTATTTATTTCTTGAGAAATTCAATGCAAAATTTGATAACATTGTGTGGGAATATGCCACCTCATAAGTCTAACTCATCTGAGTAATATTGTTAGAGGTCAGCCCCTTTTAACTTTTTTGTCTAATACTCATATGAATCATTAATTTAGTGAACATTATATATACTGCGAGATACCGTCAAATGGGGTAAAAGGGGACGGGCGGGGTAAATCGGGACGCGCGTCCCACATTTCTTAGAAATGTTGTAGCAGCTAAACTAATCAAAACATTGCAAAACTAAAAATAGTGACGTAAACTTCAACATTTTTACTATCTATTATGTATAAAGCTAGTCGAGAAATCAAACATTTGCTATCTCTAAAAAATCGCTGAAAAAAGTGTGAAAAGTGCCATTTTGGAAAAGTACCTCTGCTAAGGTCTGGAGCAAAAAAAATATTCGCCGTATTAAAAAATTTTACTTGCATAAAAGTTGCACCCAGGTGTCGGCTTGAAAACGTAATTGACAGAATTTGCCTATCTCATTCCAAAAAAATGGCAGCCATTTCTGTGCGACGGGGTAAAAAGGGACACCCCCTGGGGTAATTTGGGACATCCTTAAAATGCATTTACAGTTGAACCTCAGTTAGCAAAGGCTCCAGTTAAAAAAAAAAAAAAAAGATTAACAACAAAGAATTTTGATTACATTTACCTCACTAAGCAAAAAAAATTCACTTATCAAAAAATTAGTGCATCATCAGTCATTACAAAATTGTACATAGAATGCTATATATAGAATTGTGCACCGGGCATCATAGAATGAAAAGTAATTGACCTAAACTATGAATTTTTCCCCAAAACATGTGATGGTTGTCACTACAACATTATTTTTGGTTTCAGGTATGTTTTTCACAATATTTTTTGTTATAGTGAAATCACTTGACTCAATTAAAATTGTGCAAAGTTACAAACCATCCTGTAAGCTTACAGATACAGAAGAAAGGCTACATGGCTGCTGATATGAAGCTTGCAGTGGACAAGGAAGTTGTCAATGCTCAATGGCATGTCCATGGATACAGTAATATCACATTAATAATACGGTAATTAATGAATATGGTAATATCATATCAATAAAGGAAAAACATGTCAAAATCACAGAAAATGTCATTTATTTTACATCTACATCATCTACAATGAAAGAGGAGGACTTCAAAGTACTGTTAGTAATGGATGAGTACACTCTGCATGCTTCAAACGTTTTAAAATTAACTTATATTGCAAGTGTCCTGGATTACCCCGTTCCCAGGGGTAAATTGGGATGGTTTTATTTTGCGTCTGGCACCTTACGAGTAGCATATGAAATTATTGGAAGATGCCATTCGATAGCCCTCGCAAAGAGCTATAAAATGAGCCTAAACTTGTTTCTGAAATGTTTCATGGTAAGAAGTTATTAACAAAAACGCTCAAAACCATCCCTTTTTACCCCGTTTGACGGTATCTTGCTCCATAGCCTTGTGTTACCAGTACATTAATGTGGTACTTATTTTCCAGCCTTAGAAAAGGCTGATCCTCCATCAGCTCTCGAAATTCCTGCTATCTTCATCAAAGAGGAGCCTGAGGATGAAACTGAAGATGTTTCCATCAAAGAGGAGCCAGAGGATGAAACTGGAGAAGTATCCATCAAAAAAGAGCCATTCATATATGGAAATGAGGTAGATGGAGCTAAAATGCAAATGTTTAGCAAATAATTTGAAGTGCCTGCACAGATTTTCCTGGTAAAAATTGGCAGAATGCTATTTCTGTAATCGAATATTCAAATTAGGCATCACGAGATCATAACCCAGTATTTAGTCTAAAACATAAAAAAATAATAATTATGTATGAAGCTCTCTCATCTTGATTTGATAATTTGTTTAAAGTTATGGAAAATTTTATTTTTAATTACTTACATTAAATTTTTTATTTTAAATCTAAATTCACTTTTTTCCTGTAGTTGTCTGTATGTGATTAAAAATGGAATGCATATGATTAAAAATGGAAATATGATTAAAATGGAAAACTGTCCAAATAATTTTCTTTTTGAAATACTTCTCCCATGCTCGTCCATGAATGGTTAAGAAAAGAGCAGAGAATTGCTAAGAATAATACTGGATAACATTCATGTCAATTGATATGAGTTTTTAACCCTAGTGATGCAATGTCAATAAAATAAAATAAAGCTTTTCTTCAAAATTTGTAAATTCTAATTTGATTTAACCAGAACTTACTAAAAATGTGCACTTGCTTCTGAAATTGTGAATATGTTTAAAAGTCCATTTTAATTCGAAAAGAGGCAAGTGAAATATTTGCATTATGAAGCATCAATTTGAGAAAACATTTTATAGCCAATAATTTGTGATGCTACCATATTCATGTACTGTTAAGAGGTTAGGAACTTGCAGGCAAGTCTATGAGGAGTTGTATATTATATCATTCTTCATAAAGTACACACATGACTGCAGCCACATCAATATTGTCCTCCACATCCCCCAGGCTTGTTCAACTGCACATCTCAGCCCTGCACCTGCACTCTCCTCTTGTGTGCCGTGCAAGACAGAAGCTCAAGTTGAGGCTCATGACGCCCACCCAAACTCCTCACAGAACATTTCTGCTCTGTTGTTAAATCAGGTGAATATTGTAATTTCAGCTTTTCATAATTTACACTACCCAATGAATTTTCGAGAGAACTTCCCAAATCTTCCAAATTCCTAATATTTTGCCCTATTCTCCAGGTCAATCTAATAAATACTTTTAGTGAAACTGGAACATTTTCCTTGTACATTTTTAATCCTGCAAGTAAAATTCGATTATTTTTGATCTTCAGAAATAGATGGCAATACCTTTGATTTCCCATAAGCAAGGACCAAATCCTTGAACTAGACATCTAGTTTATGCAGTGTAGAAAGAGGAGGAAATGAGCTTGAATCTGTTACATTCAATGTAACATTATCACTCTCTTGAATCTGGAAACACATTTATGGAAAATTTACCAGGTAATTACCTTTTTCTCATCTTTTTGGTGTTCATTATTATCAACACAACACCACTTAGGACAAGGATGAATTGTTTGGGCTGCTAACTGTAGTTCTTTCATCTTGAAGTTGTCCATGGTCTGCTTGTGATAATATTACATATCCATATTATATATAGCAGAGTAAGTCCTACTTCATGTGCCATGAACTACCATCAATAAGGACACAGAAATTGAGAATTAATATTGAGCATTAGAATAGCAAAATACAAATTCTAAATTCATCGATTATATTTATATTTTATAGTTAATATTTTTATTATATCATATTTATATTTTTATAATTTTAAGTTAATATTAAGTTTTGTGACTTTTCTGTTGTGGTTTTATGGTGGGCAGGAGAAGTGAACATGGCATCAAAGGTTAGGCTGAGGAGTTTTAGGTAGTGTTCGAGTGGAAGCAATAGGTTATTAATTAGTACATGAGGATGGTAGAGGTACTGGGTCATGTGAGGTGTTAAGAGGGTGACTGTTGATTTGATTATTGAGATTTCCAGGTTTGATGATGCTGAGTAATCCAGATCAGACTGGGTGAAAATTTCCAAATGATTAAAATATTTGTCACAATTTATAATGTTTGTTTTGGCAAATCAGGGATTTCAATGAGAGTCAAACTTGAAAGTCAGCATTTTAATTTGGCTGTTATTATGTGAGATTATTTTAATCATAAAAACCATAGCTCTACTACTAATCAGCATAAAAATTTTGAAAAATTAATGTATCTAACATAATGTGAAATAATAATGATGCTGAGTAATCCTTAATCTATATTTTTATCATAAGCATGGCAAAGGTGGGTCAGCACCGGCATCACGAGAGGCTGCTGGTGGCGCTGACGGTTCTGGAGCGTCCAGCTCGAAGCAACACATCAGGCTTGGGTGTTCCCAGCGTGGATTGGTGCCTGCAGGTGGAGGCCAACTGCAGCAGCGCATTGATGTAGAACATCCTGCTTCAGGACCCGCCCACTGCTCTAAATACACATTTAGTTCAGGGAGTGGACTACTGCCGCACATTAATGCTGAGCATTTGATAGAAAAATCATTTCAATTCCCTGACTGTGAACAATCATGTACCACTAGAAAATCACTACAAGAGCATATCAACTCAAATCATTTGAGAAGAAGTGAACACCAATGCCAATTCTGTTTGAAATCATGTGCTACTGATGCTGATCTCAAACAACATATTCTCTTGCATCATCCTCAGAGAAATGCACAGAAAAACTCCAGGGGTAAATCATTGGTGGTTGCAAGGAAATGTTGCACAAGCATTGCCTTTCTAAACGTTCATCAATGAAGAAGTTTCTCTGCTCTGAGTGTGATTATGCTTGCAACAGGAAAGGGAACTTGGATAGTCATATTCTTTATAAACATTCAACAGAAAAACCTTTCCAGTGTTCCAAGTGTGATTATGCTTGCACCATAAAAAAGAACTTGGAATATCATTTCCTTTCCAAGCATTCAACAGTAAAACCTTTTCAATGCTCTGAGTGTGATTTTGCTTGCATCACAAAAGCGCGTTTGGAATGTCACTTCCTTTCAAAGCATTCAACAGAAAAACCTTTCCAGTGTTCAAAGTGTGATTATGCTTGCACCATAAAAGGAAACTTGAAAAAGCACTTTCTATACAAACATTCAACAGAAAAACCTTTCCAGTGTTCCAAGTGTGATTATGCTTGCACCATGAAAAAGAACTTGGAATATCATTTCCTTTCCAAGCATTCAACAGTAAAACCTTTTCAATGCTCTGAGTGTGATTTTGCTTGCATCACAAAAGCAGGCTTGGAATGTCACTTCCTTTCAAAGCATTCAACAGAAAAACCTTTCCAGTGTTCTAAGTGTGAGTATACTTGCACCACAAAAAAAGGCTTGAAAAGTCACTTTCTACACAAACATTCAACTGAAAACACTTTTCATTGCTCCAAGTGTGATTATGCTTGCACCACAAAAAAGAACTTGGGATATCATTTCCTGTCCAAGCATTCAACAGTAAAACCTTTTAAATGCTCTGAGTGTGATTTTGCTTGTATAATAAAAGGGAACTTAAAAAGTCATATTCTTTATAAACATTCAGCAGTAAAATCAATTCAATGCCCTAAGTGTGATTATGCTTGCAAAACAAAAAAGGATTTGAAAACTCATATTCTTTATAAACATTCAGCAGTAAAACCTATTCAATGCAGTGAGTGCAATTATGCTTGCATCACAAAACAGGCTTTGAAAAAACATTTTCTCCAGATGCATTCTACAGAAAAAGCCCCTCTAATGCACCTCTGAGTGTGATGATACATGTACCAAAAATGCATATTTGAACAGCATATAATCTCCAGGCTCCATCAGAAACCATTTCAGTGACCCAAGTGTGAAGATGCATGTGGATGGAGGGAGCTAGACACAGGAATCAAGTGCATAACATTTGATCTTTTGAGACAACAGGACCAAGCTATGTAGAGTACCTAACCCAAGACACCCACTGCCATGAAGGAAGAGGGGCACAGCTGTTCAATGTCCCTCAAAGGTGGCAGGCGTTCAGAACAGCGTGGGTATGGAAGAGAACAACAAAGCCTCTCACTTGTTGGGGCTTGAATGCTGTTCATTGGAATATCAGCATCCATTTTTCTTAAAGACTTCATGAGGGGCTGGAAGCCGTCAGTGTTGTGATAGTGGCAGTCATGCTCCTGAGGGTAAATGTGTTGCAGTTACCCCCAGGTTTACAGACTGATGGTTACTAACTTTGCTGTTGGTTTTCTGATACCAGAATACACTTTTGTATTGTTGTACAAGTGATTGACTTTACCAGTAATTTTGTGACTGTGCAAAACTTGTAATGTTTTTGGTTCATTGAATTTCATCATTCGTTGGTGTCAACATTTGTTTTACATTCTTGTGGGCAGATTTAACTGAATAAGATTTGTTGATAATAAACAAGTCTAAACGTAAAGTCATAGAATCGAAGATGAGTGATTTTATATTTTTAAATGTCTTATTTCCAGAAATGTTTTTGTTCATGAATTGGTATCAACTGATTCCTAATTTTCTACTCAAGGACTGAATCATTTGTTTCAGTTCCTTACAAAAAACATTTTGAAACAAAATTATGTGTACGGATAATACTGGTACATCATTTGGTATAAATTTATTCCTAATTTTGCTGCTTAGGGACTGATTCCTTTGTTTTGGTTCCATACAATTGAAACAAAATATTGTATGCTGATAATACTGATGCATGCCTTATTGTATACTGATAAAAATACACGCCTTAAAATATTGAGCATTTAAAGGACAGTATTTTTAGGTCTGCTTGCCTGGTGTTCCTTAGATCTTTTTCTTTGTATTGCAGGTACATTTTCTCTTGATGGTTATTATAACATATTTTTGTAACAGCTTCAGCAAACCAATAATCCATCCATGTTCCTCAGAAATATTCAACTTCTTAGTTATTCCATGTTTCCTTTCAATGCTCGAATTTTCTCATAAACCCTTTCTCAGTTATTACTAATTTATAGACAATTCAAGCAGTGCCAGAATTATATCAATTGATCCTTTGCAATGAACTATGTATCCTTTGTTCTTACTTTGATTATTAAAAATCAGAAAACACCAGCTTTAATTTCCCATTAAATTATGTAGTTGCACCAAGAAGGTGACGAGTTCACCTCACCCGTGGCTGGAGACTCGCAAAACTGCAACAGCATTGCAGGCCAGAAGTCCTGACGAGAGTTGCAGGTGGGGACACCTATTGTTGGGTCACCCACTGGTGTGTATGAATATAGTTCCGGTTTGCATTTTGGTGCTAAATTGCTTTCTTGATTCATATTAAATTAGTGTGCATTACCTGGTGATGGCCTTTGTGGGGAGGGGGAGGGGCTCTGCTTTTGTTTTGGGCATCCTGCTTTCCCCTTCCTTGTCATCCCAGCCTCATTCCCAGGTGGGGGCACCATTGTCATTAATTATGCAATTACTAAGGCAGACTTAAACTTCTTTGGCACTAGGATGCACAGTCTGAACTGGTTGTTGGGCTACCTCTCTGAGGAGGCTCTTATGTATGTATAGATCAATGTGGGAAACCCATGTTTTGGGAATTTATTGACATGTAGCTAAGTTATGAAACCCTTAGTTTCAGGAACAATGATCTTTTTACAGATGATCTTGCGCGGCTCCGCCATGTTTTGCAACTGGACAGTGCTCCGCAGCTCTGCCGTGTTTTGCGGCTCTGCCGTGTTCACGGATTTGCCATGTTTCACGGCTTTGCCGTGTTTCTCGGCTTCGCCGTGGTCCACGGCTCTGCCGTGTTCCACGGCTCCGCCGTGGCGTGTTCTCTCCAACAGGTGCTAAGAATAGGAAGATCTTGAGATAGGCAGGGAGCTGGAGTTACGCAGGGTTGCGTACTGAGTAAGAGTAACTGTGAAGTCCAAAATGTACCACGTGAAGAAATCACTTAGGCAAATATAACTCGAAACCCTGTCGTGGGGCCACATTGGACAAG